AGGCCAGTGGATTGGGTCAGAAGGATTTCTTTGGAGTCGGTGTTTGCGTCTTTGCCACCTACTATCCATGTCCGCTTGTCGCTTGTGCCAGCGTGCTTGCCATGAAGTCGTGAAAGGAGGGCCGATGTACGTTCTGGGAAGGGCGGCATTTCATCGCAAACTGTTCGTAAAAGGTCGTCGGTGGGAAGTGTTGCAAGAGTGAGGTACTCGCAAGCTCTTTGCTGTAACTCCGAGTCTAGCGTATGGCTGTAAGCCCTGAAGACGACCAGTAGTTGCGTTTTAACTTCCGGGAAAAGATTAACGAACTTGACAAAGGAAGAGAGGAGGATAGCTCTTGTGCTTGAGGAGCAACCCTGCATCTTCGTCTGGAGAGCTAAGAATTGTTCGATAGGACTGCAGCCCTTTGTATCTGCGATCAGATGGCCGAATTCCCCTAACAGATAACCTCCAATCTTGACCAGGGTCTCGTGACATTGCTCCGCTTTGACGTAGTTCAGAATGTTTTGCGCCGCATAGACTTGAAGCTCTTCGTTATTGGTGACGATTTGGATCACACGTTGCCATACCTCGTCGCTGACATGATCACCAGCCATTGCGATCAGCCGCAACGAAATGTCCACATACCACTGGATGTTTGTGGCATATTTCTCGGTCAGAATCGCTATCTTGAGTACCATCTCTTCTCGAATAGCAAAGTCTGCGCTTTGTAGATACTTCAGAAGCTCGTTGACTATGGGTTCAGAATTTGAAGGGTCACACATGCTGTAAAGCAGATCGAGACCTTTCCGCCTGACACTAATGTCTCTGTCTCGTAGTGACCCGATAATGATATTCTGATGCCTTTTAATTGGATCCAGTGTCTCAGCTCGAGCAGCAAAGTGGGTCATCGCGTCAAGTCCCAGATACCTGACGTTGGTTTCGCGTGATTGTATGAATTTCCCTAGCCTTGAGGATATCTGCACCATCAGATTGTGTTCTGTGTCTAGATGTATGACGAGGTTGATGGCTTCGAAAAGGACCGCATTTTGCGCATTGTTTTGCTGTACGTTTTTCGGCATGAGCATTGCTTCGTGTAGGATCTGTTGTAGCGACTCTCGTATCAGGCCTCGGACGTAAGTATCCTCTACTCTGGTGTTAGCAATGGCAACCAATGCTTGAAGAATTCAAAGGTGCGAACCTGAGGGCGGATAATACTGCATCAACCGTAACAGCTTCACCTGAATCCACGGGCAAGGCACTTTGTAGTATAGGTAGTCCGGCGCAATGTCGTTGTCCACCACAGTCTTTTTCAGACGTTGTGCTGCCTTGACGTATCCACCTTTATACTGATCCGGCTGATCCTGAGCCAACGCCATTACAAGCGAGGTGACCGAGAGACACACGCCCATATCCGCATCATCCATCAGCGAGATGATCCTCTCCGCCCATTCTTGCTGCACGATGCCTGGGTATTTCCGATACAGCCGTAGTAGTGTTAGAGCCGCTTTCTTCTTGACGAACGATTTCGATGTCCTACTTCCGTCAGCCGTTGCCCCCTTGTTCTCTCATCCCATACGTACGGTGATATCAGCAACATATGTACGTCCCCACTCAAAGCCTCGCCCATCTCCCGCCCGCCGACGTTTGCAATGGCATGCAGCGCCAAACAATTGAACAGCTCATTGTGCCCCAGCAAATCCTTCCTTATACTGTTCACTACCAGATGGAGCAACTCATGCTGTTCATGCAGAAACAGCGTAACGGCCAAATATCCGATCTGCTTCTCGCTGTACTTGTTCGCACTGATCAAATTGACAGCCTCGAGGTGTCCGAAGTCGACATTCCATCCTAGAATGTATATGTACAGCAGTTTGCACACATATTTCTTCTTGTGATACCCGTTCAGATTTCCATCCTTGAACTTTTGCCGGATATTTGCTAGCTCTTTATTAATCCTCTTCTCTTCCAACTCTCTTGCTCTAGCGTTTCTGAGGTCGGCTATGAACTGGACGAGCCCTCGCATAGAGCTGTTGTTTCCTGCTGAGGACCGGCCCAGGAAGCCGGCTGCCGCCGCGCTCGCCAGTTTGAAGGATGCGCCAGCTTCACGGGAGATGTGGTGGGGGGCTTCAGCCGATTGATGAATGCACTGATGACGACCTCACAGAATGACAACACTACTTGCGAGATTGATGTATTGAGTACAGGAGTGTGGTGCGGTCCTCTGCGATCTGGGGGCCCACTTGGCAGCTGCAGGAAGCTGAAGCTCTGCAGGTTTTGAGGGAAAGCAGGTAGCTGGTGACTTGAAGTGAGGTCAGGATGAATGGCTAGGTCATAGGAGCGGAGTGATTGAAGTAGCGGTGCATTGGAAATCAAGACCCGATTGGGGTCGCCGCCAAATGCATTTCGGCTTGGCGTTGATGCCGGTCCGCGGCTAGAGTATTTCTAGTGCCCGCCGTCGATCAATGCAGGGCTTGGCAAGAAAAGTTGCCCGTCTCAATCTCCAGAGCAAGAACCACCAAAGTCTCGACTGTGTAGCCTTACAGGATAAGATCAAAACACGTGCAGGCAGCAAAGCAGCTCTGACACAATCTCGATTATCGGTAGATTTACAAACTCTAATCCACAATGAGGTAGCGCAACCCTGCTGTCACTCTCTAGCCGCAGACGGGTTGCCCTTCCCCGTGGATAAGATGGCAATCAAAGCTCAGACTGGCCACAAACCAGAGCTAGCTACCCACGACGAGTCCAAGTCAAGGAAGCTGAGCTCTTGTCGCATCTTCTCAATTGGCCAAACCTGCTGACAAGGGCCCATGCAGACTGCTAATCATAAGGCATCTCTTGAAAGGCTTCGGCGAATACTAAAACAAAGGGACTTTCCTTTCTCCATCTTAAACTCTCGATAGCCTGTCATACGTATAATCTCTTACTCCAACACCCAGATGCTTCTCAGCCCTTGAATTTCTGCAATAGAGGGTCTCTGCACCGTTTTGCTTGATCGCGCTGTTGTTTATCCATCCTCCTGCTTCAACGAAGAATCCAACGACCTCGACGTCTCCGAAATATGGCCTTCTCATCCCTCGCATGAGCTTCAGAGAGGGCGGATACCAAAGGTCGACGTTGGACCTCGATTAACTAAGAATCTTCTGTAAGAGACTGGGGCTTCTGCGTTGCTGCGCTTGGTGTGGGTTCGACTGCACAAAGATGTACGGCCTTGGCAACTGGATATTCGAGACTCCAGTCTTGATGCCGTTCTTGAAAATTTCAAGATCGAGGAAGCTTACAGATATAGCTTTGCTAGCCCAGCAGTTTCGTTATCATGCCAGCCCGTCAGACGGAGCATGTCAATACGCTTGTTTTTTCGTTGTATATGCCGGACCTTTTTGCTGTTGCTTGAACGCATGATTTTGGGAGTGGGAGAACCGAGGCTGTTTGTTGGGTGATGATTGGATCTTTGAAGCGATACAGGATATTACGAGCCATCAGAAGGCATGGGCGTAACATCCGTTGTTCTTGGCGCTGCATGTGAGTATTATGCTTGGGTACTAGTACTTGCTGGACCGTGATTTGGGTCGCGAGGTTAAGAGCATTGCAGCTGTTGAGAATCGGACGAGGTATCATGGGTTTAAAAATACTTCTGTTGGGATCGCTAAAGGTGATCACGCATCGTTGTCTGAGAGAATGAGCGGGTGTGCTGTGTCTTTGGCGGGACTGGAGCGTACCTCTAAGGTCCTGAATGAGTTCCTCGCCGAGATATTTATCTATTCGCAACGTTATGGCATTATCGGCAACCCTAAATTGGAGAAAGTCAACTTAAAAGGTGAATGAGTGCATTGAGACGCTGAAGAGAAGATTGGAGATGCAAACAATTCAAATCGACTGACTTGCTCGACGCGTTGAGATTCATCTTACAGCGGTAAGTAATGCGTCATTCTTCAACCAGTGCCTGCCTAGTATCCTCCATGAGCTATCCGATAACCGCCGGAAGGCAACATTTGAGAATTCTAGCATTATTATCCACACCACCACTGTAAAACCACTATATAATCCATATTAAATGGTCGCAATCTATTACATAGACTCCATTCAATCCTTCCTATAGTGGAATCATTCGACACAAGTCCCTTCCTTGCATAAAGAGATTTTACAGACAGCGCATCCCCCTCTGGTCTTCCGTACTCCCTCACTGTTACTGCTTATTTCTTTACCAAACCTCCGAAATCCTTTGTTCTAACGATCCAAACGATCCAAACGACACATAAAACACTATCGAACGGTCTTCAAGTCTTACCATTCATGGTTACCTCGTACTGGTTTCGGTAGAGTAGAAAGTGGGGTGGGAGGTTGCCGAGATCGCCTGTCTTTTCTACCTTCCTTGAGTAATCCCACTCATCAGTCCTCCAATAATCATGAATAGTAGGAAAGCGATAGATTTCCATATAGATTGTAATAGCGACGAAGATTTTCAGCTCCGGAACACGGGTGGGTTTCCAGTGAGGATCTGGAGGACTCTGCCGAGAAGCATACAAATTTGTACTCTTACAAAGCATGTCCCAGATAGTAGCAGTCCATATGAGGCTAAACACTGGATATGAGAGGACTGTGAAGTCATCCGGAAAGTGACTAACGGGTGCACGGTACTCGATTTATAGTGGTTGATACTCAGGTAGTGCAGGTATGCGTCGGAGAAGAATATCACGTTGCTTGAGTTTTTCCTTCCTTGCCTCGGTCGTGGCCTCTTTTTTTTGACGTTTCTGGGCCTCATGTAGTTCGTCCTTATCAGGCTGAGGTAGGGTAGCAATTTTAGCCATATTGGACTGTATTTGGTGGAATAGTAAGGAAGGATGTAAAAAAGTCGCGTTCTTGAAAGACGCGATTTTTGAAGCTAAAATGTTGCCTCGGCTCGGCGGTTATCGGATACTCACCCTCTCCCGATACAGCTATTTAATCTCATAATTCAAATCATGATCGTCGAATCCAGACTTGTTGGACCCAGATAACATATCCTCGGGCTCAGACACGCTATGAACGTTCGAGACGATGAGCCAGGGACCAGGGACTTCAAGGGCTACGGACTTGGGTGGTACGATACGAAGACTGTGCTGCTTTGGCACAAGAGATTGAGACCCTGCGGAGGAGATACTGCGCTGTTGTCCGCAGTAATTTTGAAGCGCGTCGACATTGTCAAACTTCTACTGGGAAAAGGCTGCGATTTGGACGTCCGGAATAACGGGGGTCATATAGCAATCGATACTGCCAGGCTGTTCCCTGAGGATGAGATCGTCCAGCTTTTAGAGGATCAGATGCATTGTCGGCAACACACTCTGTACGAAGTGGGGGCTGAGCACTAAAGTTGAGGAAGGGTTAACTGCCAATTTGCCAAGTTGTGGAGGAGTCCTTTCATCAGGACAGCTTGCAGGTTTCGGGCTCGGGCAAGGATTGGACGAATGGAATCGGTACTGGGATTCTCAGCGGATGGATGGCAACAGGTTGTAAGGAGGATAGATAGTACTGCTCATTACGATGCTTCACTGGAGTCTTTTCACTCCGATGATCTCTTTCGCATCACGGCCCTTCCACGATTCCTTTTCATTGTTCTCAAGCAAAAATTCGATATGGGACGCGTAAGGTTTGTTAGTATGAGCTCCTTCCGGTCGTTCGTCTCGTTTCTAGATGTATGATTCTCACTCTTCAATGGCATTTGATTCAACTGCGATGGCAGGGTACTCACCTAGAACAACAAAGTAAATTTTAAACCCCATCCCCGAATGGATCCACAACTCCGAATGATACCTCACTCTCCGCTAGCCCGCCGGTGATACGCGTAGGGCTCAGCGTCTGTTGACGAAAAGCAAAGTTGTTGTATATTCCAAGCAAAAGGACACTCCCTAAACTCCACAAGTGACTCGGGATATTGCGAAGTGCGCAGCTGAGATGCTCATGGGTTCTTGTTGAGCTAGAGAGCTAGGTTACATGTAGACTTGCAAGCAGAACCACAACCGCACTTCGCCACCCCCTACTAGCAGCTTTTCTCTCCCCGCAGAGAACACATCCATTCCCTCCCAAGCAGTATCAAGAAGCCAAACCATACGCCATATCATCAAGTGGTATCACCATTCGCCTTCGCAATGCCACATATCTCGCAGCACCAGTGGTTAGATCAGAGAACCCCCCTAAGCACCAGCGGCCTTGGTGGTGAAATCGGTCTCGGTCGGAAGGACACCGCCGTCGGAGGCTTTCTCGCAGCTACAAGCATCTGGCAGGCGTCAGAACGTGTAGTAATAGGCCGTCGGTGGGAAGGGTCTGGCAGTCGACTTACCGGCAGGACGGGCCCCGCAGGCACAGGTTGACCCGGCGGGCTTGGCGTTCTCCGCAGCGGCACGATCGCACGTGCACGCGCCGGCGGGACGGGCGCCTATCAGATTGCACTCGGTCAGCACCATGGTCATCCGCAACTGCTGCTGAGAGAGTGAGGCGAGAGCGTTGGGGTTGTAGGGAGAGCGGGCTCGCCGCAACGGCGTGGTTGGAGCAGGGGAGGAGACGTACGGCACGAGCATCGCGCACCGGTGACTGTGTTCTCGGTCTTGGCTTTCTCGCAGGTGCAGCTGAGTGCGGATTGCTTGCCGCAGGAGCATTTGGCTTGGGCAGCGCAGGCGCAAGCTTGGCCAGAGCGGCCGCAGCAGGTGGTTGGGACGGTCATGGTGATGGGGGGAGGATTGAGGGTGGATGTATTGTTTGAGGGTCTGGTTTCTGGTGTCTGGTTTCTAGTGGTTTGGAGTGGTGTTGGGAGGTGTTTTTGAGGTTCTGGGATTGTTGTGAACTGATGTTGGAGGGAAGAGAAGGTAATTAAATAAGTTCATGCATGGAAGAGCGCGCTATCGATACGGCTGATCTGTAAAATGCAAATTCTGATTGGTCGAGACTGTGACGCTAAACGCCATCCACCTGGTATCTCCACGAATGAGAAGCTTCGTATTGTCAATCCTTCTCGACCAATCAACGAATTACAAATTACTTTCTCGGGTTCAGAGCAGCATCTATTCCCAAGTCACTACCTGCATTAACTACAGCATCTGCTTTGCTACAGCTCACCTTTCTGAACTTCCTCGTACCGCTTACTCGTATTCACTAGGATTTGCAATCTACTAGGATTTGCAATCTCTAAAATCTGATTTTTATAATTTATTATTTCACAACAATATAATTTAAAACTAGGAAAAAAAGTTAAAAGAATATAAAATATAATTATTATAATTTTAATTTTTTTTTATAATTAAGCTTAAATTATTAAAGTTATATAGTAATATATTAAGATATAGTTATCGAAGTTTATTACGCTATTTTATAATTAATCATTATTACCTCGATTTTGAAAATTCTTGAAAATATCAAAATCGCAAATCATATTCTTTTAGAAATTTTTCTCGAGTTTTTTATTATAATGTTGTGGAATAATAATTTATAAAGATTAAGTTTTAGAGATTGCAAATCCTAGTAGATTGCAAATCCTAGTGAATACGAGTATAAGATTCCTCATTGCGCGAGGTCGAGAAGGCTCCTTTCAATTTGAGGTGTGGAAGGTCAAGAAATCACGCGCTTGACGGCCACACGTAGGGTGAGAATCAATTGAATCTGTTATATAACAGGCTCGATCAACAATAATGCGGGCACACTGATCCTCCGTCCTACCAAAAGGCTCACAGTCAAAAGTCTACAACATGACGTGAGCTATTTTGCTCATTTGACTTCTTATTACTGAGACGGAAAGCAGATTACCTGTGCGGGCTATCCGCTGTATGAGTGACGAGGGAAATGGAAAAGAGAATAAACATCAAAGTGTCGAGAGCGTAGAGCAAGGCAAGAGACAGTGTAATGGAGAGGAGAAACGAGGGTAGTTCTATTCTCCTTTGACCCAGCGATCAGGCTCTCATACAAGGAGAAGATTTCATCGCGAAGAGGGAATGGCCCTCGACCTCATGAAGCAGACTCATGGTATCCTAAATTCTCGAGGTCATATGAAAACTTACTATGATTTTTGTCACAACAGCAATCCAGTGCAAGGTCATTCGCACCTACCCTTCGAGGCTCTGCTGATGATGCTGTTGTGCATGTTAAGCAAGACAAATAACAGTTTCAACAGTAGTCTCTCAATTATCACTGGTTTTGTATGAAACCTCCTGCTACAAAGTCGTAGAAACTGATATGATCTACAGGTCTGCTACCAAGAACTGTTTAAGCAGATTACAGGAGCTGTCGCACGTTTTCCGTGATGACGAAGATTAAAAGATGGCATCGATACGACACCCCCTTCCAGGCACTGAGACAACTCGCGCGCTGGCATTTATTTTGGGTAGCCACAGGCAGAGATGAGCGTCGAAATGAAGACGCTCAAAGAAGCAAAATTCCTGAGCAGATATTTGAATGGACGGAATGTGTCTGAGGCGTGATTTCTCGGCGCTGAAGATAATGCAACAATCGACTGTAGGCGTAATACGCCATGAAAAACCAAATGTAGAAAACCCGGCGGAAGGATTTTAAAAGAAGAGCAACGGGTCTGTTTCATGTACCTTGTGATCTTGGATATTTGAAAGAGATGATACTTAGTCGGAGCAAGAAGGATCAGGCCGTCTCTGTTGGCCCAAAGCCGATGGTTAGCATCTTTTAGTAAGAGAATATAGCAAAAGTTATACATAGAGGGGGAAATCCCTGAATGGAATTGAAGTCCTACAGTTCAGGCACGTTTCCAGGGAAAAGTGATATTAATCACAGAGATTTGCAGTGAGTAGTCGCCATTTCACCTGCAAGGCAATTCTTATGGCACAATTTTTTTCTTGCGTCAACTTTCTTTTAAAACGAGTTTTCCGACGGGAAAAGCCGGTTCGTACTGATTGATACCCACAAAATGGTGAGCGGAATGGATCTTTCTCCTGTTGGAACTGGGAGAATTTGACATTCCCTCTACATGACCTTTGCAACCTTCACTGACATCAGGGTGGCAAATATCGCGAACCTGTTGATGAAGGGCCAAAGCGCATACTTGCATTCCCAAACGCCTGGGAGGTTTGGAAAGAATGCAGCGCGCGAGAAATTAGACCTGCTAGCAGACCCAACGTATATCGAGTTACCTCATGGCGTTGAAATCTGATGGCATTTAGTGGCCAAGTCTTGCAGGAGGTGGGAGAACTCGGACAAGTACGAGGTATTTTTCGGACTTGGAGCTTTGCCAAGAAAAGTAAGCGCCAAACCCCTCTCGATCATGCTGCCATCCGCGCGCACTCCGCAAATGACCATTTCATCTCACTACATCCCCGCGCATCCGGTCATGCAGATTCTAATTGTGACGATGATCTAATATTCTAGCTCAGACATATTGTCCCATCTGACTCTTGAGGTGACAGCAAAGGACAAGTGTCCTTTGGAGCTCAGAAGCCATGGGCCTCCCCACCATCAGTGAGCGCAAACACTACCGCCTAGTATGCCAGTACCATTGTGCTACGTATTCTAATATGTCAGAGCTAACGTCTTGTACAGCTTCCGGGCGAGCCAGAAGAACCCACCTCCACCATCGTCCTAACCTCAAAAGACTCCTACTTCGTCGATGTCCGCATCCTCCGTGAGAAGCTCGAGGAAGAAAAGAGCCAGGAAGCTAATACAAAAAACTGTTTAGCATGGGCATTTGCCGGTAAATCAAACACCACTTTGACCAAGGATTCATCGATGCAGCTCTCACACACGGTCTGGGACCACTGGATAGACTCGCGCACCAACAATCCTGATCCTGATGAGGGCGATATGTGGGTGCAGCCCAATGGAGACATCCTGGAAAAGGGGAAGAATAGTGATCCGGTCACGGGGGAAGAGACCGAGTATGAAGAACTTTGGCACGATCTACAGGTGGAGGCTTTCGGCAAAAAGCACAACCGCAGCAGCTTGGTGATGAGAGCGGACGAACCGGAAAGGAACATAAGGGGAATGGTTATCAAAATCGGAAGCTGGTGTGAAGGTATACTGAAGGTTAAAGATGAATTGACTGTAGAGAGGTGGGAATGGAAGCCGACAGATTGCGCCAGCGACCTGGCCACTACTGAAAATAGCAGAGGGAAAGAACGAACTCGCAATGATTGGATCCGAACATTCAAGATCGGCCAAGGCATTTTACCGTGCCAAAATATATGCTCGCGTACCCATGGCAAATTTGGCCTGAACGCCGTGCTGAAATCCACCACTGATATTGATTGGAAAAGCGACATTGAGTGGAATGTCGTTGAGGAGTATTACTGGTAGATTGAGGCTGAAAGCGCCGTGTTCGAGCTGACTGTTTAAACGTGAAACGCACAGTCATATGCAATAAGACGGCACTACTCGGCTTTGCATTTATTGCGCATTCGGTGCGCCCCTTTTGAGGCACATAGCCTCACGCCTTAGGGCCGGCCGAAGAAATAGCGGACTTTGAAATCGCTATGGGGAAAGGACATCAGACCATTGATGCGACGGAAAGAGCGGCCATGGCTCACTTCCTTGTGCCTGACAGATGATCAGGTTCCTAATAGACACCTGTCCTAGAATGGCACTATTCTTCCTCCATTACTTATAAGTACGGTCACCTGCCCTAAAACAATACGCTTTTCCCTACAACAATCGCCTTGTACCTGAAACATAGCTACGTTCATTTCTTCGCCGCACCACCTCTAGAAGGTCTTCAGTCATGCCGTACCTACCTGATGGCACGATGAATAGCGGCTCGGGCGGTCACAAGACCGCCCTTACAGGGCAGCATACTGCAGCACCTAAGCCCCTGCCTCCTCTCGATATGAGTGACAGCATCAAATACATCCCTTCACAGATGGACCCGCTTGCCTGCGCGTCGACGAGAGCTGCTCGTCAAGACCCAATACGGCTGATGATCGATGATGCAGGCGTTTTACTCAGGCTGCTTCCTTATGTGCCAGACCTCATCTCACCTTTCTTGACCAGAGACAAGGATGCTGAACTCTATCCGAGTCTCGCGAATACAAAGGTCGGATTCTTGCAAACACTGCTCGCCCTGATCCAGGTGCTGTTTCTGGTAATGGCCCTTCCTGCCTTCGTGTTGCTGCCTGGCGGCGTCTTCTTTGCTGCCACAGTATTGTGCTGTTTGGCTTGTTACCTCATCACCTTGCCCATGCAAGGACCGCCACGCATTCTCCCGAATATGGACGATGGCACAAAGTCTCTGGCGGAGCAGCACAAGAACGAACGCTGGGTATTTGTTAATGGCATATGTACCGGGTAAGATATGCCTAATCTACGCATCGACCTTCTCTGAACATTTATAGACACTCGACCTCTCAGCTTGAGGTTGACCGCCTCTCGAAGACCTTCGGACGAGCCGTTATCGGCATTCACAACAAAAGGTATTTGGCTCCTCTCTCTCAATCATTTCGGCGACTCCTAACCTAGCATCCTCACGCAGTTATGGTATACTTGCCGATCTTGGAATGTGTCTGATCCAACGAGCTGTTTCATACCACGACTCGGGCGTTCGCTTGACCTACGCCTATCTCAAAGCCATCCTCGTCGACCCTACTGTCACGAAGGTTGTCCTCATTGGCCACTCCCAAGGCGGTATCATCGTCTCCTTGGCGATCGACGACCTACTTGCACAGCTACCCACTAGAACCATGTCGAAACTCGAGGTCTATACATTCGGTTCCGCGGCCTCACATTTTTCGAATCCATCCCTCGCGCTCTTGTCCAATCCTTCTATCAATCAGCGCGGTGATCAAACATCACTACAGATATCTCAATCCAAAGCCGACCCCGCCGATGCCAACCAGGGCCAACATGTTATTCCTCATATGGAGCATTATGCCAATGAATACGATCTGGTCCCTCGCTGGGGTGTACTTCATTCCGTACAGGATGTACTTCATAACCGCTACGCTGGCTCGGTATTTGTCCGAATGCGAGGCTCAGGTATGTGGAGTCATACCCCTCGAAGATCTTATGCCGAGTCGTTGAGACGTGTACTGGAGGCGGAAAAGGGCTATTTGTCCTCTGGGTTTTCTCCTTAGACGTGACCTACTAGTCGACTTCGTGTATTGTACAGGGTATGCTAACCCCAAGATCTAATTAGGTCATATGCTGAACCAGCACTACCTCGATCCCATGTTCCCCCTGTCAAAATGTCAAATGCTGGGAGCCAAAGAGAAAAGAGGCATGAAATGGAAGTCTGGAGGGGAAATCGCTGGTCACAATGAAGCTAAAGTCGAAGATAAGTTCGATGAACGTTTTCTCGACCGGATTGTTACCCCTGATGAGAGGTTGGCTATGCAAAGAGATTTTACGGCAATTGCGGGCCTTGTGAGGCGCGAGACCGGTCTTGAATTTGGCACTGGGCAGGTCGTCAAGGATGCGTACGGGCTAGGCAATCGTAAAGATGCCAATGGTGATGATTGCTTGACTTTTAAAAGGACGGCTAGTGACAGGGTTGTGGCTGAGGAAGCGAGGGGTAAGACCGTAAAGGACTTGAGTCGACTTTGGAAATATGTTGGAGGGGAGTCGCCCATTGATCACGAACATGATGAGTACAGATACCATGAGCAACCACCCCACAGGCACCGCAAGCACCACCACGACCACCATAATCAAAGGAAAGCTGACCGGGAATCGGGGGATGGGCCGGTGCTCGAACAGCCAAAGTCGCCCGTTTCATCGGTATTCGACCGCCCAGAGTCACCGCTCACTCATCCAAGTCCCACCACTGACGAGCAATTCTTCTACGTAAGTAGCTCCTTCGAGCCATTTTCACCTCATTTTCAGGGGGAGAGTGAGTTGAGTTGGATGTTCTTTGGGAGCGTCCTCCCTTTTTGAACCTGAGTCAAAATCCAATCGAGTCTTAGAAAGATATTCTGACTTGATTAATACGTAGTGGAATAAAGGAAAACACGGGCAACACGCCAGGGGTCCCAGGACCTCAATTCAATCTCGTTGAGCCGGTGCTGGTGAGGAAGCCCTTTTGATTTGGTCAAGCGTACTTTGGCCATGGGTTTGTGGATGGTCTGTTGTGCTGTTTCCCTTTGCTTGTATATATCCCCTTTGGCCTGAGAGACTCGCCTGGGGCTAGTATGGGGGTTTTTGACTTGTCGGATGTGAGAGGTACAAGTATACAATCCGATTGGGCTGTGCTTCTTGCCTGCTTAATACCGCATGCTGCCCTTGAAGTGTGCGGTTATGCCCATGCAATTCCTCGCCGCAAGAAAATTCATACACGCGCCATTGAACTTCAATCTCATCGAGAGTGCGCAAACCTGAGACTCAATATAGATGCCCCTCCCGATCAACTGCAATGAAGCTAGGGTGTTAGACACTGGTTAACATCATTGTTTGCCGCTAGCTTGCCATTTATGTGTAGAGCTGCGTGATTGGACCGCGGCCGAAGTGTTAAACATCGGTAGTCAAGGAGCCATTGTCAACAAAGGCATTCACTTTCTTGCCGCTTCAGAATAAAATCTTGAAACCTTTACACTCCTTGTTTAAGAAGATCTACCGACAGAAACACTGCTTTGCTACTCTCGCTGCAAACACAACTCTCAACCGCACAGCTCAGCTTGGACTACGGAGCTTACTCTTGTCTCACCGCCTCAAAAACCTTGTATCACCTGGATCGCATCCAGTCAAAAAGCCTTCAGAGCTAGCTCATAATATCAACACATGGCCGTTATCCGGATTCCTATCATCACTATGCTTCTACCGACCATCGTCTGCCTTTTCTTTGCTACCGCTTATAGCATCAATATCACCACTTCCAACGTCCTTACCCCAACCTTCCCATCCAACACCTCCTCCTCCGCCCTCCTCACCCACGCGTTCGCTTCCAACACCACCATCTTCGCGCCCCTCACAGCGCCTATTTACCGTAATGTTACTCCCGGCGACGTATGGGTCTTCCCTAGCAGTGCGAACGACCTTGGTGCGAGGCAAGTAAGCTGTGAGTGTTTTAACCCTGACGGTGAGTTGTGCTCTTTGAAGTGTGAGGCAGAGGGGTTCTCTGATGTGAAGAACAGACCAATGCTGCATAGCCGCCTCCTCCAGCGTGCCGCCCTTCTGCATGCCGACTGGATCTACGTGCTGCGGGGATACGTTCTGCGTGGCGGACGAGACTTGCTGTGAGGAGGGTTGCTGCCCCGCCGTAAGTCTTCTTTCCCACTCCTCTCTTCTATCTTCTCCCGATCCACCATCCTATTCAATTGTAAGGCCGGCATCGCTGACACGGAAAAGCTTACAACTTGCAACATCAAATCCTCCGTCACCGGCTGCTGCCCCAGAGGCGAGGTCTGCGCCATTCCTGACGGTGCAATCTGCTACGATCACACCTCGTCAAACTGCTCGAACCGGGCCTCCCCACCGCCGAATTGCTGCCCCGCCGACGACCCCTTCTGTCGCGACTTCAAGCCTCGCGGATGGGGCTGCTATGGCCTCTCTACGACTGCGTCCGCTACTTCCACCGTACCGACCATGACTGCGGCCGGCACTTCGAACATCTTTGCGCCTCCTGCGAGCACGTCTCCGAGCGCCATCTCTACGCATACCATGACGATATCCGTGGTCTCGGACGGGCACGGGGGGTGTTTCTCTCGCCTTTCCGACCAAGAGTGCTGCCGCAGGTTCAGAGGGTGGCGAGACGACGTACGTGCTTGACTGGGCGGCGAGTTCCGCAACCCCCATCGCGGCCGCGACGAGCGGTCAATCCGTTGAGTCGACGTCGAATACGGTGCTCTCGGCAGCAGTCGCAACGTCTACCGCCTCGTCTACGACCGCGCAGTCCACGTCGGCGAGCTCGTCCACAATACCACCCCGCTCATCGTCTCCACCCGCACTGTGCTACAACCCAGACGCTAACTCGCATCCTCCCTGTCCCACCACGGCAACGCCCCCCCGCTTCATCCTCAACTTCCGGCGCAGGGTTCAACCCATCCGGCGCTACGATTGTCAGATCGCAAGCGAGGAAGCTCCGCATCCCTCTCCTCCACCCCCTCGACGACAACAACGACCACCAATCCCGGCCCGGCAACACCGTCTTCTTCTTCTTCCTCCTCCCCCTCCTCGCCGCCTCCATCCTCTACGCAACCTTCGGCCACTTCGTCAAGCGCTCCGATGCCGACCGCGCGCCACTCGGATCCGCTCTCCGCGCTCTCGGCTACGATGACCCGCAGATCGACGCCATCCTCGCCGGACCCCGGACCGGTCAATCGTGATCCCGCACCTCTCGTCGTCGCGGATGAGGTCACGCCTCGGGCCGAGACGGAGAAGAAGGACATCACCGTCGTGCGGGGGAGCGCGCGGCCCCTGCTGGCGCCCCGGGTGGTGTCCAAGGGGCAGATCCGGGTGGTGAGGGGCAGTGCGAGGCCGTTTGTGCTGGGGAAGAGAGCGCATTCGCTGTGGGAGGGGATGAGGGGGGTGGGTGATAAGGAGGACGGAGGGGAGGAGAGGGTAGAGGGAGATGGTTCTGTGGGGGAGAGGGGGAGGCTTTAGATGGAGTTCTAGCCTGCGGGGAGTAGGGCTGGGGATGATGATGAGTTTCCTTGATGAGTGTTGTGTGGTGGATGTTTGTGACTGCGGCTGGATTCGCGGTTGATCGTGGTCTCTTCTTCTTTCGTCTTGAATCCATAGGGGACGGCGCGGCTTCTTGTTATGTGGTGGTTTGGAAACAAGGACGTACGTTGAGAAGGGAAAGATTTCTCGGCGAAACGCGACAGTGTTGCATAGCGGTCGTTTTCATAAGCCTCTTCTATTGCTCTAATATTGAAAGATGCTGGAAGTCTAGTTTTCTATGTGGATTATTCGCTAGAGCTTTTATGGGATACTGGAATGATACGCAGCTACATTAGCCATGAGGGAGGGCCAAAGGATCAAGTGCCTGCACCTGAAAGTTATGATAGATAGTATGAAAAATCGCACACATCGATTCCTTGTGAACCTTTGCATCACTCCTCATGCCCTCTACTACCGCTCACGCCTGCGGTTCCCCCAGCCAAACTGTCGCCTCTGGGCGGCCTCACTACTCCACCTCCATTCTCAGTCCCAGGACTCTGCGCCATTTCTCTCGGAGACGCAGTCCCACTCCCGGGCACTGGTCTCCTAAGTTGTGGCGCCGCACCTTGCGCTTGGCTCCTCAATGCATTGATCTGGAAAGGGTTTCTGACGGGAGAGGTGGTTCGTGTGCGTGAGGGCTCATCTGTTGGCGAAGGAACGAGGTTGTTAGTGTTGATGGGCGTGGGTTTGGCGGGCGGACGTGGTTGGGATTGAGATGCAGAGCGAGAGCGGGATTGAGGGGAGGATGATTGAACAGAGACGGCTGGCGGGGCTATTGGTGGTGCTTGACGCGGTTGAGATTGTGCGGGTGGTGGGGGTCGTTGTTGGTTGTGAAGTTGGCCAGGTTGGGGTTGAGTCTGGGTTTGGACCTGGGACAAAGCGGACTGGGGTGGTTGTGGCCATTGAGTTGGAGAGTCCTTAGGCGGGGCCGATGGCGGTGGTCCATTGCGAGATTGCGGCGGCGTCTGCGCTTTCGATGGTTGTGCCAGTCTTGATGCCTGCTGTGAGATATAGACGTAGGGGTCGTACTCAAGGCCCACAGACGGTGGTGGTTGTGGAAAGTTGCTCGTAGATCCAGTAGGCCGAGGAAACTTTGCCGCTCCGCTTGATGCTCTCCGCTTCCCTCGTGTGGATTGACGCCGTAGTAGGCCTCGCACCTCTTCGATAGAGACGGTGCGATCAAATTCGGGAATGTCCATCGTTGAGACGGAATGGGCGACTGACTTGGGAGTTGTGGGCTCGATAAGATCGCCAGGAGTATGAGCTGTATCGGCAGCCGGGCGACGAGAGTTCAAAGTGGTGAGGGCATTACTCTCAGAGGCAGCGGGATGGCGTAAGCGAAGTGGAGGAGGTGTGACCGAGTCACGCATGTTAGGTTCAGCACTGGAGGTTACCCCTGAAGGTCCGCTCTTAGCGGGGAGGTCTGGTATCTCCGCTGGAAAGAGTCTCTTTGCGTCTTTAGCTGTGGCAGCCGCTTCACGATTGGCGGCTGCTTGCGCGTCGGAGACAGTGACAGAGTAGGTGGGCTGGTCGGCGCTGCCTAGAGTTGATCCTGCTCCACCTGGACCGTTGATAGGAATTTTTCGCAGGGCTAGGACTAAAGCACACATGAACTTCGATCGACGAGCAGCTCTGATAGTTTCGTTAGACCAATTGGACTTGTGTCTGATCTCAACCTTCAGCTCCATCTTGTCCATCGCTGCAATACCGGTGATCTCGACATCGATGTCCGGCTGGAAGTCTCTCGAGTTCTCCTTGTCGGTGACGAACGCCTGCATTTCGTTCCTGAGAAGCTGGACATCCTCGATGGTGGTACCAAAATCGATATAAATAGAGAGCTGTTCCCGCATAGCATCAGACCTCGAGACGTTTTGGATCCACATACTATTGAGCACAATGTTTGGTACTTGTGTCAATTTGTGGGTATTGATGTGCTTAAATACTGTGAAAAGGAGCGAGATGTGTTTAACGACTAGCTGGTCATCACCAATGTCGACTCGGTCAAGTACGTCGAAAGGATGCTTGACGAACAGGAAGATGCAAGAGCCAAGGACTTCCTGGGCTGTTGTGGCAAAGACGAAAGATAGTGATAGCAAAGCGGTACCAGCCGTTGCCAGGGTAGTCGTCAAGGAGGTGTTCAAGAAAGCCACTATAGCAATGTTAGAAGGTGCACACAATTATAGTATTGGAATAACTTGCCGAATACAAACACAACGACGATAAAGACAACAATGCACAGCAGATTGTCCAACACGTTGATAGCCTGATCAACATCGTGCAAGCTGCTAGCAATCGAATGCCGTTCCTTGCCAAATTCGCAAATCGTCAAAATCATTTCGTCGAGACTGATGTCTCCATTGCTGTCTCGATCCAAAATCGCAAAAGCCTCCTCGGCTTCGGCGTAATGATCAGGACCAAGGACCTCAACAACATCGTCCATGAACAGAGCTTCCTTGCCCTCAACCACAAAGCTCATCCATAACCGTTTAGCCAATGCTTCTGAGGATTTGTTCTTCTCGAGAGCTTCTACTACGATTGAGTGAGCGGAGTCGGGGTTGAAGACCTGCTTTCCAGTGACCTCAGAAGCTATGTTGCCGAAAGCGGACGTAAGCTTGTCGCCGAATCGGCCAACATTCATCAGAAGCTTCATAGGCGTGGCGGAGCCCGAGTGCTTTTGACCATGTTTACTTCCTGGGATATCGATAGAGTCGTGGATAATGTAGTCTTCTTCGGCGAATTCGTTGCAGTAAGCGGGGAACAAATGGCGAGAAGCGTCGTAGAGTAAACTCAAGAGGTAGATTCTGTGCTTCGAGTCTTTGATCTTCGCATGGAATTGCGTATGGTGATAGCTGATGGAGATGAGCTGTATGAGTAATTTCTCAAATAGAAGAATCCAAGATGCTACCAAGAATGACGCAAGGATCTCTTGGACGACGGCTTCCCAATGTTTGAGTACGGTACCGTTGCCAGATAGAAGTGGATCATGTTTCTGGGTGGTATTCGTAGGACTCTGTGCCTTAGTGAAGGCCGCTTGTTGCCTTCGCTGGTTTGGATTACGGGTCATAACCTATGATAAGAGACCTTAGCTCGCACGTACTTCTTCCAGCAATATTGTGCAAGGCCTACCGGTGCAAATGTAGCCAACGATGCCAACGCCCATCCGCATAGAGATAAGTATATTTCCAAAGATTGTATGACCAAAGAATATTTCCTGGTTCCTGAGCTCACGATCCCGCACAAGAATTCAAAGATCCACGGAAGGGTTTTCGCAGCGAGCTTCGATACCCATAAACTGAGCCATATACATTCCAACCACGAAAAGATCCAGACAATACGGACACCGCCTAGAGTTGCATTTTGTGCTCCAGTAGCTCCAATGATGATAGGTATGGCGATGATAGTAGCCAAAGGTAGAACATATAGGAAGTATTGGGTGACAACCGAAAAGTTCAAGATCTTGTTGTATATTATGCCCATCTGCGTGACAATCTCTTCCTCCCCATCACTGCTCTTCTTCCCAGTCTTCTTTTCAGTTCTCCGTCGGCCAGCGACATGACGCTGGTAAAAGCCGGCTTTCTCATTGAGCTGCTGCTCAGGGGCACCAGTAGTGGTAGGGGTGTAGGAATCTGTCTTGCGGGCTCCAGTCTTACTATTGCTGACACTGCTCATGGGCATGGTGATCGTAGCGTCGTTAGGATTGCTCATCGTAGACGAATCGCTCTGGTTCGGTATGTGTTGGAAACCCTTGGAGGAGCGATTGGTAGAAGAACGCTTAGAGCCAGGCATTGGTTCCTGAGGGAGAGTAGACTTGGATACAATCGATGCTCGATGACTTTTGATGACCATGTGTGGCTAAAGAGAGAGTATATTGCGAACGAGCCTTCCCCCTGAAGAGAGTGACGTTGGGTTTCGTGATGAAAATGCAGAGGAGGAAGCTGCCTCCAGGGCTGTAACGACAGTGGTTTGGGGCGAAGGAATGTATAGCTGGTCAGTGAGGACCGTGGTGAAATGGCTGAGGAGGCTCAGAAATGGAAAACAGTAAGAGTCGGGGCAAGAAGAGAAAAGGCACAGGCAAGACGCCCGTTTCAGGGGCGATACATGCAGGAGGAATGAGAAGTTGCCCGCCAAGTTTCACCGGGGCCCCGGGTCTCGACAGTACCCTTGCTTAGCTCCTTAGCTAACGAGCCGACGGCGACAATCCCAAGAGGCAGGCGAATCTGATGCAAAGGATGAGTATCATCTCTGTCGCAAATTTGATTGACCCTCAAGGAGTATCCATCTAACGAACCCCTGTGCCCTTGAAACTCGAAGAGACACGAATCGTCTCAAGAAGATAACGACCCAATGATATCATGACCGACACAAAAGACCAGGAACCCGCAGAAATGCGAGTTGATCCAGCACGAGCAAAACACCTCTCCTCAAACATCTCCTCCATACTCTCTCGCATCGAGTCCGCCAAACCTTCTTCAGGCCCACCAGTCCGCCTCGTCGCCGTCTCCAAGCTCAAACCCGCCAATGACGTTCTAGCCCTGCATTCCGCACCCCACAACCACCTCCATTTTGGCGAAAACTACCAGCAAGAACTCCTCCAAAAATCTCTCCTTCTGCCCCGAGAAATCCGCTGGCATTTCATCGGCGCGTTGCAGACGAATAAGTGCAAGCCGTTGGCGGAACAGATACCGAATCTGTGGTGCGTGGAGAGTGTGGATACGGGGAAGAAGGCTGATCAGCTAGAGAAAGGGAGGGCGGCGCTCTGTGAGAAGGAGAAAGATTACGGAGGGGTGCCATTGAGGGTGTTCGTGCAGGCCAATACGTCCGGGGAAGAGGAGAAGAGTGGGGTGGAACCTGAAGGGGGCGGCGGAGTTGTGTAGGCATGTCAGGGAGCAGTGTCCACACTTGAAGTTGCAGGGGTTGATGACCATTGGGGCTATAGCGAGGAGCAAGGAGGCGAAGGAGGGGGTGGAAAATGAAGATTTTTTTAGACTGAGGGAGGTTAGGGATCAAGTCGTGAAGGAATTGGGGTTACAGGAGGGGGACCTGGAGCTCAGTATGGGCATGAGCGAAGACTTTGAGAGTGCGATTCGGTGTGGAAGTAATGAAGTCAGGGTCGGGAGCACGATTTTCGGGGGAGAGGCCGGCCAAAGGGGATGCGAAGATTAAGGAGACGGTTGAGGAGGGGAAGGGATGAACATAAATCGCGGTGAGGTTCATGATATTGACCCATGACTGCCTTTGTCAGGCGAGGTTTCCCCCCCCAATACAAAACAGGCAGTCGAAGCGCTACGAATCTCTAAAATTTCGACATGACGAGCACCAACGAGGATTTATCTTGCTGTTGAACGCTCAACTGGAAGCAATTTCGATCATACAAGATCAGTAGCTTTTTCTTGGGGTGTTACCAATATTTGACCTAACACCAAAAAAGCCAGAGTCCCAGAATGCAACATTTTTTATTCCTGACAATTTGCCTGCTGTATGGTACTTCCGAGCTCTTCTGATGG